AAGTCAGTGTCAACTTTTAGCTGCAACATAGATAGACTTTCTCCAGGACAATCTGGTCCTTGAAACTTTCAATGTGGCATTCATCACCCCAGAAACCAAATCCATCCATGTTGCTACTGGTCTTCTGCTTGTCTTTCCTTTCACGATTCCTAGAGCGGTCTTCACAGGGATCCAAAGAAGAATAATTTTAGCCTAATCATCTGTGCCTCAAGTGAGAACTCCGTTTTTGTTTTTTTTTTTTTGTTTTTTTTGATAATCTGTTTGTTTGTTTGTTTGTTTGTTTGTTTGTTTTTCTTGGCTGCCCATAGTCTTCTCAAGCATTTTCTCCAACACCAAAGCTCAAATGTGTCAAAACTCCTTTTATTCTGCTTCTTCAAAGTCCTTTTTTCCCCTTCCTTCTATAGAGTGTCACAGGAAATACCATTTCTTACACTAAACTGATCTTTGTCGGAATAGACACATCATAGGATCCAAATATATTTTCGTTGGCCTTCACTGGTTCTAGGCTGTGGTAGATCTCTTGAACGCTTGTTCAACAAAGGACCATACCATTGATGGATAGTCATAAGGGACAGAGGCTATTCACCGTTTCAATATTTTCATGGTCAGTGGTAAAGCTGGCTTTTGTACCTGTTTTCTTGAGTGAATGCTCTAGAAATGATCAAATTCTCTGCTTTTCAGGCACCCCTATCTCTGCACTTTGGTATAGATTTGCTATAAATAAATTCCACTTTCCCACTCTACCCCTAACTCATGAGTTAAACAATGAAGCCAAACAGTTTAATGAAGAGAAGGACGAGAGGGGACATGATAGCAGTGTTCCAATATCTCAGGGGTTGCCATAAAGAAGAGGGAGTCAAGCTATTTTCCAAAGTGCCTGAGGGCAGGACAAGAAGCAACGGGTGGAAACTAATCAAGGAGAGAAGCAATCTAGAACTAAGGAGAAACTTCCTGACAGTGAGAACAATTAACCAGTGGAACAACCTGCCTGCAGAAGCGGTGAATGCTCCAACACTGGAAGTTTTTAAGAAGAGACTGGACAGCCATTTGTCCGAAATGGTATAGGGTTTCCTGCCTGAGC